TCCCTGTGTAGCTTTTATCAGATTGTTCTTCTGTGTGACACTCAGCCTGCAAGGTAATCATTGGATTCTGTCATTGTGTATGCTAAGAAAATGTCATTGTTGACATGGTCCAATAGGTTACAAAATGTCATTGTTATAAAGATGCTTGGGACAAATACATCCCAACCTGGTTTTAGTCCTACGAATAAATTTTAAATGAGAATCTCCATGAACTTGGCCCAAGAATTAAATTTTTCAGAGATCTGGGAACCACAATTTTAGCATGTTTCTTCCACAAATATGCTAATAGCTAATCTTCTTTGGCTAAAGGACTAAGAGAAATTTCTCCCCTCGTAAGGTGTTAAATGCCTTAGGGCTGGACTATCTATATTTGTAACTGCAACATTTAGCATAATGCTTGGCACAAAATAATATATGTGGTGTCTGTATTTGAGTATATGTGTGTGTGTTTAATTTCTTTATTATGCAACTTGCACCTGTATACCCAGGGAAACACTCCACTAGAACCACTTTTTATTGGTCCATGCTACCTTGGAGAAAGTTATGCAAAATATCATTTAGAAGATTTGTGTAAAAGCGGAGTCATAAAGTTTAGTACCTAAATATACCTAAAAAGAATTCACCAGTAGCAGCTTCTTTGCATTTCTTTTAGTAGGTAAAGCATAATTTGAGCAGGTAAATCTCAACGTGTTCTCCCAGGTTTTAATATATGTGCTTTATTTTTCTCCCACCAAAACGGCTATAAGGGGTTCTCAAAAACCTCACCCAGCCCACAATTACTCTCAGTAAATAAAAGAGAGGATACCAATCAGAAGTTATGGATTGACAAGGTGGGCAGGCAAACCAGCAACTGACCACATAATAAAACTTCCATATAGTAAAAGAGATAGTTGAGTTTTAAAACCAGTGGAGACATGGCCACATGGATAAGACCAGGAACTTTTTAAAGGAGTCTTCCTCCTACATCCTCTGCACATCTCAATATGTCTCAGAATCTCTCTTCTCTGTCTGCTACATCAGCCTCAGAAGCCCCTCATCTCTTCTCACCCTGAGACCCCGCTCCTCCAGCTTCTTCCCGCCCCAATGCTGGGTCTCCCACCTCAGCAGGTCCACGGCTCCACCTCCTCTCCCCAGGATTCCCCATTCCAGCCATATGCTAGTAAATGGCAATAACTGACTCTCTGAATTTGTAGCATTTGCCAATCCCTAGGATTAAGCTCTCCCACTGTGGCTAATTTAGATCTAGCAACGGGACATCACTGAGCACAGAGTTAAGAAAAGATGGGCAATCGCACATCACTGTACAGAATTTCCACCACACAGATACCATAGATGCAAATAACCTCAAGAGCACAGGAAAAGGGAGACAAATAATCAGGAAGTGATGAGTTTTGAGGATTGTCTCACCTTTGTTTTTAATCTAATTTATTTAATTGCAAGTCTATATATTAGTAATTTAATTTTTATTGATGACTGTGTTTATAACCAGCTCACAAAATTCCTGAAAATATAACAGTCACCTCTTGTGAGCCAGCACAGGCCCAGTACTGCACAACATTGCCTAATAATCCACCCCCTTCCTCTAGTGTGTGGCCTTCCCCAACTCCCTGCTCTCAGTTCCTGGTGCCCCATAGGTACCGGTGCTTAGATGGGCCCCACTGGCTCCTTGTCAGGAGTCAAGGCAGAAACTGAATTGAAATTACAAATGGGTTGTACAATGACAGGTCAAGTGCTCATGATATGAAAATATGAGTGCTCCTAGCCCGGTCCAAAACAAAAACCACAGGTAAGAGGGCCTCAAGGGGGAGGAGAGAAGGAAAATGCTATGGAGCAAGTCACAAGCTCACTAAGGGCTGGTGAATAACAGGCATGGGATATGCTGAACTGAAATTTAGGAAAACTGGGGTTTTCCCCCAGTCCTATCAATGACTAACTTTGTAAAAATACATAAGGCAATTGATAGTTACTAAGAGCTATACAAATGCAGGGTACAATTAACATTTCTGTAAAAATTCGAAAAAAAAAAAAGGAGATACAAAATGTGAGATACCCCTATTATTAATAACATTGTTCTCCAGGACATCAAAGTGTTTATTAGAAGATGAAATCATTTATACATCAATTTTGAAAGACAAAAATGAGAAGATACTTGACTTAAAATCTCTATTATCAATTACATAAAACATTTATTTGAAAATAGTCTTACTGGCTACTGCATACACTCAGGAAAAAGTGATATTTTTAGAGATCTTCAGAAAAAAATAAAAGCTTTCTTTTCAATTAGTTTCTACCTACATATTTAGCATTCAGTATAATAAACTTTGGCTCATTGGTACCCTGTAACCAATGGAAAAAAATTTCAACCAAGAGGAAAATTATTGAATATGGAATACTATGTAGCCATTAGAGACATATTTATACACAGTAACCCGGCAAAATAATTCTAGTGTATATTGTTAAGTGTAAAAGCAAGCTTAATAATAATATATATTGTCTTTTTAACCCCTATGTTATGTGACAATATAGGAAATTTGGCAAGGATACACACGAAACTGTGAACATTGCTTAATTCACAGAAGTGAGATAAGAGAGGAAAAGCTATTTATCTTTACTACCACTCTTTTTAGCTTGCCTTGTTAAAATAAGGGTGTTTCAAATGATAACTAAAAATTCTAAGTGGAAGGAAATATATTAAACATGCAAATTTTAATACTTCCAGTTAAATACCTAAATTCCGGGGATGATGTTATTGCTTAATTTCTAAGACATATCAACTCAGCCTATTATTAGGCTGTTTATGATCTTTAGACCATTTTAGTACTTGACACTTTCCCATTCACCATTTTATTTCCTTTTCTGAATACGTCTATGTAAAGTGAGCAATTCATACCATTTTGTATATGAGGAAAATATGGCTTGAAAAAGTTAAGTAAATATCCCAAGATCATGTGACACATTCAGCAAATGAGAGAGTCAGGATTCGAATCCAAATCTGCCTGGAACAAAAGCTTATTTCCTTACACAATATGCTATTCCAAATCTATTGTCTTTTATATAGAAATCTAATGCCACAAGTTTCTGATCATAAAACCTATCCACAGGTTCTCTCACTCTGGAGAAGTGAGACGCATCTGGACTTACCTGAAATGCATTGAGCAGGGAGAAGGTAATGTGGAAGGCCAGGGAGCTACCATCGATGACCGTGGCTATCCCAAATCCCCAGGTCAGTCCCAGCAGTGGTGTGAGGATGGCAATGTTCTTACTGATTCTCACAATGGCTCTCACTTCCTGGAACATGGAACTGCCGATGGCAGCTCGCTGGGTTTTGACGATCACCAGTGTGACCGTGATCAGGTTTACTACCACGATGGCCAGAGCTGGGACCACAAAGGCCAGGAGGGCCTTGGTCATGTCCCAGTTGAGCCAGCAGGCCTCAGGCTGTAGGTAGCCCTTGCCAGGCTCAGTGGCAGCAACTGTAACAACAGCAATGACCAAAGGGCATCCGTAGCCCACTGAAAAGAGAGCTGACACCAGGACTGACTTAGGCAATGTATGGAAAACAACCAGGATTCCGTAGAGGATAAGGAGTGCCTTGGCAAGCATCCAGAAAAACACAGTAAGGTAAAAGTAATGAACAAAAAATGTCGCTGCCACACATCCTTTGTGGTGTGTCACTGGACCACTAAGAAAGGAAGCCACGATGAACCACACGTCAGCCATCAGCAAGGTGGCCGCAACGTTTGCAATGCACACATGGCGTAAGTATGAGATCTCCGTCTTTGTCACTTGGCCCCAAACTAAAGCCTCAATGGACAAGCAAAGTATCAAACTGCAAATAGAAATGCCCAGGCCTACATATGTGATATAGGTCAGGATTGGGCTCTCCAAGATGTGGGGTGACATAAGAATGGAGAAAGAGGTGAAAAACTTGCTTGGCCTACATTTGCAAACAGCTTGCTGGGGGTTTTCTTGAATCATTTCACAGGCCTGTTGGTCCCATCTGCTCTCCATGGAGTGCCAACCAGCACACTGCGTCCTCCTCTCCTCTGACTTGCTGATCTTTTCAAAAATCAATGAGATTTTTTTAAGTTCTTTGGGCAAAATGACAGACAGGACAAGCCCATTCACAGTAACGTTTTCCAAAAGACTGGCTTCCAAAATGGCCCCAAGGGTTGGAAATGCAATACTGATGACCTGAGAAGGGGAAGGCACCTTCCGAAGTTCATCTCTACTGATCAGCACCCTCCCAGTGACTTCATTGCCGTTATCATTAACTCTCATTGAAAAAGTGAAATTTTTTCCTGTGTTGTCTCCAGATACGGTGGTGCCCATGGTATGAATGAAGACATCTGATATGTCAATGGGATGTTTACTTATGAATAGCTTTCTTGCAAACGAATTGACTGAGTGTAGCAGGACACAGCTGCTGTTTCTGTCAGGAATGAAGGTCCAGTTTGAGATGCTTTTGCTGTTAAGAATGTGGTTGGCCATGGTGCTGTAACTCTGCCAATGAAGAATCAGCATTAATACTGAAACCGCTCTCTGAAACTGCCAGTACTGTCAAAACTCACTTTTATAAAGTGTGGTCCTCCAACCAGCGGCTTAGGCATCCCCTAGGAACTTCTCAGGCCCCACCCCAGACTAGATGAACCAGAATCAGCATCCTAATAAGATCCCTAGCGACCTGCACGCACACGGAAGTTTGAGTTAGAGGGCAGAGCTATAGGGCCTTGCCCTGCCTCCTCCCATTTATGGCAATGCCTTTCTGGGAGACACCAAAGTGGGCAGCCTTCCACGTGCTCACGTCCATCATCCATTCCACTTCACACCTGGCCAAACTAGCAATTTGCTCACCCTGGTCAGAGTACCCATCATGAAATTAACATCTATTAATATCAAATCCCAACTGTGTTGCAGGACCTTGTACAGGAACATACTAACTTGGAAATTCACCCCAGGGGTTGAATCTGCTTTTTACTAACCTTTGCTTTTAAGATCAAAAACAAAAGAAATGGATCCAGTTCCATTTCCCATTTCTGCAGCAGATATGCGTGCCCGTTTTCTTTGCATTCAATTATTTTCCATTTGCAAACTGTTCCAACTCACAAATAAAAGTAAGAACAGACTTTCTCTCTGCAGGACCTAAAATGTTTCTTACATGTTTTTAGTAGCCAAAATATACATTGGAAAACCATATTCCAATGTCCACCACAGCACCAAGTAAGTACTTTCTATAAATGTTTGTTGATTAAATATGTTAACTTTCTCCATTCATTTATTCATTCTTTCGTCAATGAAGATGTATTGAACACTTGTTTTGCTTAGACATTGGAAATACTGAGGTGAAAGGGGTGGTCCCCAGCCCCCAAAAAGCTCACAGAATACTCCAGCTAGCCTGCATTCCTTTCCCGCCAGGATAACACTCCACCAAATATTCAAGGCCATTCACCTGCATCTTTGCCTCATCCACATCTGTCAATAGCGCCATCGATATGTTGTGTAGCAGCTGCACAATGACAGCGATGTTTCCTGGTATCCGGGGAGACTGCTGAATGTTTCTAATTACACAAGACAAATCTCTTGGACACTTTTCCAACAACATATCTGTTATGGTCTCAGGCTTTCCAGTATGTTCATGTATTCTTACACCTCCTCCAAATGATTCAACCGTATATGAATCCTCCTAAGATATGGCCAAAA